ATATATATATATATATATATATGTCATATTTTATTTTGATGTACAATTATTATTTATTAGATAATAAATTATTCATTTAATACAAAAAAAAATAAGGAATATTTGTACATGTTTAGAGTGAAATTCACCTATTATGAAATAAGAGTATTTAAATGAGAATAGAGTGAAATTCACCTATTATGAAATAAGAGTATTTAAATGAGAATAAATATAAGATAGAGTGGAAAGAATGAAATAATTACAAAATAAAATATTATTCTAATTTATATATAGAGAAAAAAATTTATGGTAAATCTTATACCAAAAATATTTTATGAATTTTTATTGAAAATAGTCAAACTAAACATGTTTTCTAAATTTTAGAATTATAAAATAAAAATTATTTTCTAAAATAAAAAATATTTACTGAAACCAAATACACCCTTAGTTTCTTTGTGTTTTTACTTAATTAATTTGAAAGTATTAACTTTTCCTTAAATTTAGTGGCCGGATAAAATTTAATTGATGAACTTTAAAATATAAAAAACAAAAGTACTGTAGAAAAGCAATATGTATTTCAAAAGAAAGAAAAAGTTAAAGCAGATGAAGCGTCTGAAAGTATGTTTGGATTAATGATAAATTTACCGTAATTCTTTTTCCACTAAATGAATTGAAATTTGAAAAAGATGTGCGCAGCAAGTTTCGTGTTTCATCACAAAGCAATGGACGGGATTTCAAATAGTTAATTTACGTCACTATATATTAATTCACCTAGACATTACATAGAATCGATGAAAAGTTTCCCAAAATAAAGACATTGCATATAAAGTGAACAAGCAGATAGAGTGGAATAATTAGTTGCACTTATTATTATTTTGTAATTTTTTTAATAAAGATGTTTAATTCTTTTTCATCGGATTAATTACTCTTATAAAAGTAAAGTATTGAATGAATTTGTTGATGATTTTTGGTTTAGTATTATCTATATCTATTTTATTATAAAGAAGATAAATTTTGGTAACTATTCTTTTAATTTTTACTTTTTTATTGAAAATTAAATTATACTTCTGATTTCCTATTTTTGTACATCTATGATTGTTCCTCCTTATTTTAAAATAATAAAATAAATACATTTAATTTAAATGACGTGATATTTATTAACATATTATTTAAATTTAAAAAAATACAAATTATGTTTAATAAGAAATTGAATATTAATAACCTGTTAAAATAAATGTTAAATCATGCTTAAATGGTGATAGACTAACATTAAAATTTAACTATAAAAGAATGCATGTTAAATTGATAGTAACTAACAAGATCAAAATTCTATATATTTTTTAAATAAGTATAATTACTCAACAAATAAATATAAGATTGTAAAAGATAATTAAAAATAACATATATCAAAGAATTCTTAATATATAAAAAAATATTATTAGTAAAATTAATATTTATATATTACTTTTGGTATTTTTAATTTTAAAATATTGAAAATAATGAGTTATATAATTTTTATGATTTTAAAGTTTTATTTAAACTATTAAATATATATTTTTAATTTGGTGTAGTGATCTATAAATGAGAGTATCCATACCGTACAATTCACTTTCCTAGTAAAGTAGTCATTAGGCAATGCTTTGTTAATATTCGTCTTTCCTAGAGTGGGCGCTAGCTGAATCTTTATTTTATTTTATTTTATTTTCACGTGTATGTGAAATTATTTTCACGTTCATCTTAATCCATGCCCGACAATTTAAGAGCCAAAAAAGGCATCACGCACGTGTGCTGAACTTGACCAGTTGCCTATTCCAGAATTTCTACATATTTCTTGTATGGTTATTCAAATGCCCATTATATTTATTTGGAAATCTTGTGCAAATTAAGAAATACAAGTACACTTTTCTTATCACCATTCAACACTCACTTTCTTGTGTAATTTCCAGGATTGATTTGGTTGTTATAGCGCTCAAATTTCTTGCAATATTAGATCCATGTAACTAGAAAGAACAAAAAAAAAAAAAGGAAGGTTCATGATCTCTTTCTTGCACCTCGTCCATCACTATCTTATACAAGTGATTGTCATCATATAATATAATTGGAATTGTGGCAACCGAGAATTCGCCACATTGTTTGGATTGGTGAAGCCTTTAAATACATTGTCATTTTCCCTCTACAAAACCAACTGCCAACTGCGTGTATGCTATTACATTATCAAGTTGTATTTCGAACGAAGAAGAACCCAAGGTTTTGTCAAAGATATTGAGAACAAAATAAGATCCGACAACAAAAGAGATGATGAACAACTCAAGACAAAGATGTAAAAAACAAAAGGACGAAATTACACTTTTGATTACAAATAACGTGACGTTGATATGATAAAAAAAATGATTTAAAATGATAAAACTGAATTCATGAGAATTACACTTAAACTACTACTACTAAATTCAGTACTTAAATGAATGATGTGCTAAAAAGAGATAAATACAAATAATGATATTGTATAAAATTGTTGAATGAATTATTGTACGTATATCTCATTTGAAACAAAATTATTTCACTTATTAGAAGTCTAGCCGTATGTTCTATAAGTGTGTAAAATTTAAGTTGCATAAAATTTGCAACTCCATCTTTCTCTACAATTATGTTCCTCACCCTAAATCAATTAACAAATCTCAACTAACAAAGATAAAAGAATATTGACATTCCAGCCACCCTAGATTAAATTGTTTAAAAACTAAGAATTAGCCATTGCTATATCGTTTTTTCGTAGTTGTGAAGACATGATTCTTTGAACCAATATATCTAATGCTTCCTTCATCCACCAATGCTGACAAACTTCTCTAGCTTCAGCAACAGTCATCTACAAAAATTGATCACAAAGAAAATTAGAAAAATAAATTGAAAATACTTATTTTTAAATGAATTAACGCGTGCAAAATATATATATGAGTAGAGCAAAAACATACCCATATTCTTTTCCTATGATTTTTCTCGGGCCACATATCAAGTTGTTCCTTGACCAACATGGGGAACATGTGTCCTTCATAGTATATGCCATATCTTTTGCTTATGAAATTCCATTGCCCCAATTCACGCTGCAAATGAATAACAAAATTATATTTAAGTTTCTATATAATTACCAAATGGAAAACATTAGAGTGAAGTACGTAATATAATTCAGAATTTAGACAAAATATATACCTCAATGATTCCCAATACTCCTGCTTCTTCAAGAGACTCCCTGCATGCTGCTTCTTCCACAGATTCATCAAGTTCCCATCCACCCTGGGTCCAGATAAATTGAATGTTAATTAATGTTGTACGAAATTAAAGGAGCTAGGTATACTAATGAACATTGAGCATATAGTAAAATTAATTCATAAGAAAAGTATACCTTAGGGAACATCAATCCTTGACCTTTCTGTGAACTAACCACTAGTACTTCCAATTCGTCGCTTGTATTACCATCTTTATCTTCTTTATATCTATAAGGTATGCACCTGCGCAATAGACATTATAATTAATATCCGAAACAAACAAAATGAATGATAGGGTAAAGAAACAAAAAGCGAGAGACATTAAAAAGGGACCTACCAAATATTCCTATTGAAAAATAATTAAGCCACGTGAAACATAAAATGAAGATTTGGCAGACACAATAGAAATTAAGAAAACGACGAAACGTTAACTCACCCAACAACTTGGCGGCCACCCATGTTGTTGTATCTTTGGAACTCCCTTCCTGAGCGAGACACCAAGCAAGCCATGTCTTTCAAATTAAGATTAAGAATGAATTGAAGGAATTGAGAACTGAATGAACAAATAATCAAGAATGAAAAGAGGGTTTTAGAGAGGGAATTGAAATTAATTAAGTTAATTGGGTGGATATTATGAGTATGATTGATCTGTATGATTGGTTGGGTGGGAGAGAGAGTGAGAAGAGGAAGCTATATATAGAAGAACGTTGAGAATTTTGTGTGTTGTGAGCAAACATATGAAACGCGTAATTGTCTCCTTCCTCGAGCCAGACGTATAGGATGCATAATAATATAATAATGAGAAGGTGTTAATGGACTAAATATATAGCATAAAATATAAAAATGAAAAGTGGTTAAAGACTGAGGATTGGCCAACAAATTGTTTACATTTGGCGTGGCATTGAGTCAACATTTATGACTGGGCGTTGCTATGGTGAGTTAGCACTTAGCAAGCAAAAAAGAATATAAGTTTTATTTTCTATTATTACAAAAGAAACACTGTCTCTACATTATAGTCGACACGGCCTGATAGAAACATGATCTACAAGTTGACTTTGGAAAAACACGTTTCTCCCATCGCATATGTTGTTGTATGTTTGCCTTCTGACTTTACTTTCACGATTGCTTGCACCCGCCACCCAGGTAGATACGATCATAAGATAGATGTAATCATCATCTTCATGGAGCCACTCACTGCGTTCTTTTTTTTTTTTTTAATATAATATTCTTTTTTTACATAAATGGGCTTCGAAAACAGAAAAGGAAGTCCAAAACAAAAACAACTGCCCTCTCGAAAAATTTTAATTATGTCCGTCCAATAATATTGTAATTTCTTAATACACCAGTGAAAGAAAAAAATTAATGACGAAGATTTTATTTCAGGTGTAATTGACATGATATAGAAAGTTTGCAATGAAAAAGTTGTAAATATGACAATTTTTTAATGATTAGTGTTAACTCATGTCATAAATTAATGTATTAGAGACTAACATTGTGTTAATCATCTCAATCTTTATATGGTGAATGTAATAATACCTTACATAAAAAGAATTTTATCAGGCATATGAAACAATACTTTACATAAAAAAAAATGTTTTCAAATTTTAAAAAATGCAATTCGTGTTTCTCAACCCTAAACTTTTTTCTAGTTTCTCATTTCCCTTTTTTTCATTTTCGTCATTCTTTTCCTTGTACATTTAGGTAAATTATTTATCTCTTTTGCTTTCATTTCTTTTACATTTTGTTTTTGTTGCTATTGATAAAGTTTTGATAGTGTAATGATTTGAAAGCAAACAATGTGATGGAAATAACAAACGTGATAGTGACAAACATGATAGTAGAAAATAATGCAAAAATGTTGTTATGGAAATAAAAAATGCGAGGAAAAGATGATGCCGATAAAATACAAAGTGAAAGAGTGCAATAAAAGAAAAATTGTTAACCTTATAAAATAATAAAACTTCTTATGTAGATTATTTTTATAACAAATATTAAAAAAAATTAAGTTTTTTTATGTCAATTATTTTTATAATCGACATAAAATATCAATATTTTCTATGCATGGTAACTTATATGAATAAAGATTATCATAAATTTAGCCTTTGTATTTTATATAAGCCATGGTAGCTCATGAATAAAAAAAATGCTACACCATCAAATTGATATAAGAAAATGGGGTGGGGGGACTAGTAAATTATATATAAATAAATAAATAAATAGTAAGGATTGCTTAAAATTTTACCAATGGAATAGAAGTGTATTGAGTTATTTATGAGTTACTTGATTGTAACATGATAATGTGGATCCAATAAAATAAAATAAGATATAAATTTTTTTTACAGGAAATAAGGTACATGATTAACCAACTTATAATGTGAAAAAATTTTCATACTTAAGAATTATGATTCAATATTGAATCTTGAAAATTGTGATTTCTAATAATGATTTTAAGTGGTTTGGTTGACCATAAGAAAATGTTTAGTATGCATAACATTTTTCTATTCCTAGGAATTTGAAACTATAAATATTAGTTTCTTAAGTTTGTTTTATCATTTAAAAAATAACATTTCCAAAAAAAAAACACGATTTCTTATAAAATATTTATTTTATACCGGATTCTCAACAAATTGTTTTCATGAGGGAGGTGAGAATTAAATATGCCCGAGTTAAAAGGAATATTTATTACTCCCAAGAAACATTCTATAAAAAAAATTTAATACAATAAAAAAAATTACTCCCAATAAACATTATAAATATTCTAAAAAATATTTATTATCAATCAAACAAATTTAATCATGTATAAGTATTCTAAACCCTAGACCCTACACTTATAATTTTCAAAAATCATGATTCCTTCCTAACACATGAAAATTTTCCTTCCACAAACACTCCTTAAATAAAAAATATATTATTCTTAAGTAATATTTATAAAAATTTTCAAAAATATTTATAATCAAACAAACAAATTTTCATAATTTATAGGATTCATGATTTATAGCATAAAAAAATTGTACCAGATGTCTTTTAAATGTTTTTGGCAATATTATAGATGTTACATGGTAAACAATTATTTTAAAATAAATAAAGGCAATGTGAACAATTTTTTTAATTTGAAAATGTTAGTTTTTCATCTCTTCATAAGAACAATTTTGTGAAAAACCACTCTTGTAAATATTTTCGAGAAGTAATGTTTTTTAATAATATTATTTTTAAATAATAAACCAAATATAAAAAATTAACATTATTAATTTTAAATTCTTGGAAAAGTAAAAAAATTCCGTTTACTAAATATCCCCCAAGAGACATTTTTTCTTTGGTGATTTTTAGTTGGTTTAGTCTTTTCATGTAACATGCTCATCATTATGTTTATATAAAATGATTAATTCGTTTATATTTTTTCTTATCTAGATTGTAAATATTATCTATTAAAGATAATCTTATTATAGTTAAGTAAGACTACTATAAATAATAAAAATCACCAATTAAATATTTAACTCGATTATATACACAAAATTTGAATTCAAAATTACTAGTCTAGCTAAAACAAACTCTTACCAACCAATTTACATCCTCACTGACTATAAGTCTAGCGTTTTGACTATAACTTGTTTATTCAAGCACAATCATTAGGATTTAAACATATAAGTTGTTTAAATCTCAATCATATGCATAAAAAAATGAAACTCGATAGACATACACTATTATTATAGAACACAATTTACAATTAACATTTTTTTAAAATCATATTAGTAATTTTTTATAACTAAAAATTAAATAATACATCATTAAAAAATTTGAATAAAAAAAATAGTTTGTCTAAAATATACCACTTTATCAATTTGAGTAAGTAGTAAGCATCGGTATATCGACAAATACATTTTAAACATATATGCAGATAAGATTCGCTTAATCATGGACTTAATTTTTTTTTTTTAATACTTGTAGTCTGTTTCTACTTTTAATAGATATGTTAGAAATTTTATTTTTAATAATTATTGTGAGATACATATATTATTTGTAGTATTTATATTAGTTATTTACATTTATTTGAGTTCAATAAAAGTGATCTAATTTTAGTGAGTCTTTAGACTGTCAACAAGAAAAAAAATTGATATGTGTCCAAATAAGTAGAAACTAGATTTGGCCCGTTAGGGGTTAATGAGAACTTTAATAGGTTTAAAATCGTAAAAATAGTCATGGTCTTTAATATGCCAAATCAGAAATACACGTCTTTTTATCTCTCTATCAGACGAGTAACATCAAGTCCTATTAAAGAATCTAGTGATTTGGCTGAGAAAGATCATCAGACCAAAAGACTACTCTGTTGTAACTTTTGATCAATATCAATGGATACAGATATGTGTTACTATCCTTAACTTGGTAAATTCTTAATATTGATTAATGAAAAAAATTTATTTGCCTTAAGAAATTTATCCCAACAATATAACATTAAATTAAAGTTCCAAACACATCTTAAGTATAATTTTTTGTTTTTTCATTTCATGTTCAATTTGATTAAACCAAAAATAAAATAAAATAATGCCCGCGCATATATGTATTGATTCAATTCAAACTAAAATGGAGGTCAATAGAATCAAATATTTAATTTCATCTTCAGCTTGATTGGATTCAACATGCACATTCACATTCACACACATGCTGACGCCTGACATGCCATTCATACACATGCATAAAACAAGGGAATCAGCAGAGTTGGAAAACCATTTAAAAAAGAAGAAAAAGAAGAAGAAGAGATGATTTCTTTCACAAATTCTCCAGGCATACATAATAAGGGGGAAAGCTATGACGTAAAAGAGGAACTAGAGTTTGAATAGTGCTTGATGTGACGTTCAATTTTTTTATTTTCAGAAATTTAAAATTTCAATAATTTAAATTTAAAAAAAATTGATTCCTTTCAAAATTTAATTTTAAGAATTTGAATTTTCCGTTATAGTAAAATTTTAGAAGAAAAAAAATTAAGTATACAAACTTATAACTCATCAAGATTAAAGTACGAAATTTATTTGTTAAAAAAAAATAATTTCAAAAAAATCAGACATCACATATTTTTTATGCTGTGTTGAAATAAAAAAAAATATTTTTTTTTCAACAAGGAGTATCTCCAAGTTAGAATTTAAAAATTAATCACTCGAAATACTAAAATTTATTTAATAACACGGATTCATAATTAATCGAACTTCTAAATTCTAATTATATATTCGAGAAAAAAAATAAGATTATATATATCAACCATGTCACACCATATTAATAATTTAGTTTATTTCTACAGGATTATCGCGATCATATCCAATATATTATTGTATTTATGTTACTTAATTGTACTCGTACGAGATTAATATGCTATATTTTCTATTTTCTGATATGATATTATGGATGATTAATAATTATTAATGAACAGATCTTAGCAACTGTAGTTGTTAAATTCATGATATCCACCTAATGTGCCATAGATCTCAACCAGCCTACAATTATTGTATGAGGATTCTTATTTATATTTCTTTTTTATTATTATTTTAATTAATATTTTATTCTATGTAATATATATATATATATTATATTTAATTTAAATTTATAATAAATTATGTAAATAAATACTATATTTGAATATGTAAATTATATTTAAATTTAATATTTTTAAATACATAAATTATATTTATATTTAT